AAAAAAACAACTAGCGCAAAAGAAAAAACTAAAAAAACAAACAAAACAGACGAGAACAAATGAAAACTAAAGAAAATTCGCATCAACTAGTAATTTGAACCCTTGGAAGAGACAGGCACATTTGAAAATTGAAGTGAAGACGATTAGTTTGCAGTGTACTACTGTCGGGTCAGAGGCCCCCCTCCCCTCCCCTCGGCGTGGGTGTTTTAAGGCGCGGCCAAACGAGACAGTGTTTTAGGGCCTCTATGCATTCCTCCCGCGATCCGTGCATTGTTCTTGGCCGAGCAGCTCTGCATGAAGAGAATAACAACCTGCCCCGGCCGCGCAAGCCCCGCCGTTTTTCCTCAATTGTAATCCGTGTGGCGGAGGAGGAGGAGGAGGAGGCGCTCCGACCTCCGACTGTCCGTCTCTCTCTCTCGCTGCGCTGAGCTGAGCTGCGCTGCCCCCACGACCGTCGTGACGAGGGCGACGTCGTCGTGGCCGCAGCCCGCTTTGCTTATTCCCCATCCCGGCCCACTTTGTCGCGCTTGGCGCCGCGAAACACTCATCGGCCGGGGAGCGGCCGGCACGGCACGACACGGCACGTCCGGTGGCGCGCAGCGTGCAGCACACCGCAAGTGCACTTGGATGTGCGTAGCTCAGCGTAACACACCACCGGTGAGAAGGGCGCAAGTCCACGGACTTTGCATTGAACTTACGACCTTTTCACTTCTCACCGGTGACGTGTGCAAGTGCGTGACACGTTGTGGCGGAGTGTTACACACACGTTAGACGCACGAGGACCATAAAAAACACGAGAGGGGTAAGAAAGGTGTTAAGTCACACGTCTGTTATGTGCAAAGGGCTCGTGTCGCCTTTTAAAGGCACTTTTAAGTGGCCTATGCAAATGCTTTCTCGGAAACCAAAGTGTGTAAGTACATGTATGCCCTACCTCCTGAGTACCCACATGTATTCAGGAGGTAGTGTGTACCTGGCCAAGTAGTTCGCACTCCAGCACATAGCCTTTTATCATAGAGCTCTACGTGTGTTCATAGCCAACTCAAAATTTCTTTCGCACCCTCTTGCGTTGATATTTAAGTCGCAACACCGTTTTCGCCGCTAGCTTCGTTCGTTGCGCGGCGTTGCACATTCGCGCTTCCCGTGTGCGCGACTCGTCTTGTCTCTCTCTCTCTCTCTCTCTCTCTCTCGCACGACGCGCCGGACGCCGCCTCTGGCCGGGCCCAGCGCCAAAATAAACAAAGAGAGAGGGAAACATTGTCCCCGCCGCGAACAAAGGGCCGCCTGTTGGCTGCATTGGCACCTGAGCGTGCCTCGTTACCTGGTCAATAGAGTGTCCCGGCCCCGGCCCGCGCAGGTGTGGCGTCCAGCTCGGGTGTCACCGTCCACCCTCCTTCCCTCTGTTGTCCACTGCTGTGTCCACCACCGTACCGGGGGCGTGTCCGCCGAAAACCAGGAGGTGGACGACGTCGTGACAACGGCGGCAGGCGCGGTCCCCCCCGCCGTACCGCTGCGAAAAGCGAAGAGAGGGCAGAATAAAAGGAGCAGCGGAAAGAAAAGGAGAAAGGAATAGCTGTCGTAGGTCGTCGTCGGAATTCGCAGCTTTTATCAGACCGACCGAGCGAGAGCGTGCGGATTTTTATTTGTTTCCGGTGTGTGTATTGTGTTCCGTTTCAAAAAGCCGGAAGTCGTCCGGAAGCGTGGCTGCAGTTGCACCCATTTGCTATTGCAATTAGCGGTCCGCTCTAGTTAGACAGTCATAGCCGTATATTGCAAAGAGAGCGTTCCCACTTCAATCGTCGTCGGTTTTTTTCTCTTTTCTTTTTTTACCACCCCTTTCCTAGCTGAAGTGTGTATTCGAGACCGACGTATTTTATCGATTTAACAGTGCACCTGGCACGCGGGGCTGCTTGATGGGGCATTGTCAGCACCGTACGCCGTGACGGCCGTGACGACGGGGGCGCGTCTCCCCTCTCCACCCCTTCTCTGCCCCCC